GAGTTTGTTTATTTATCACTAAAGTATAGTCAGCTACAATTAAGCTTTTATATATTGGCATTACTTTGGTTCTGCAACAGAGTATTCTTCAGCGACATTTTACATGTTTTTTTGACGAACAACTAGATTATTGGTACACGCATAATCTTCTCAATTTGCTTTATGGCATTGACTTAGTTTGCAATCATAAACGGGCTAGGAGGACTTCACTTATAATTGTTAAGCTGTTGGGATGCATTAACAGTTTAACCCCCTTACGTCCTCTCTTTTGCATTACATGTGGAAATTAATATGTCAAACCGGAACAATGTAAAAACTCAGAAAATTCACTACAGATCATACTTAACATACTATACTTTAGCAAACCGATTCAGTACAGATCACTCTCAACATATTATACTTAAACAAACTCAATGTTATTTTTTTCATGCTCACACTGATGAAAATGCTCTGTAACTGTACTAGTATCATATTTTTATGGCACTTGGTTATATGAAAATATACTTTTAACTCTCAATAATATGAACATGTGGAGAAACATTGTTCTTAATTGAGTTTGAATCTGTGTATCTTGGATAGCAGGCAGCCTCAATCTGGAATACTGTGGTATGGCTCATGCTCATAAACTTCTTCATCAAGATAGTGAATTCAACCGCGCAGACACATCTGAAGAAACAACAGGAGAGGGAGGTAGCCGCATTAACCAAAAAGTCAGACTCAGACACACAATGAAATGCGTTATTATTTTTGTTGATGATTGTTGTTGTTGCAGCCTGCAGGTTGTGGTTTATGAATCGGTATCAAATTGTTGTTGTTTCCACCGTTTTGCAAGTTGCCTCAACCAAGTTTCTTTTCTTTTTTTCGTTTTTGTTTCTTACGAATTATGATGTTGAATTGTTGTTATTGTTTGGAATGAGTCCATCCGTTGCAATACAAAATTCAGATGCAAGCAGTTCCATAGATACTAAGATTCCAGCATTAGGATGGATGATTTCATTTCTATTTGCTGTTAGTTTTCTTGGCCATTTTTTAGCGGTTCCACTCCGAAAGGTACACCAACTAATTGCGTCTATATGTAAACTTTGTTGCTTCGTTGTTTGATCGATTGCTTGAATGAATTTTAGCTATTTAATTATTGGATGTTGAATTGTTGCAGCTTCTTATTGTTGACTTGAAATTGGCATTTTCAAGCGCTACTGCCACAACAGATCTTATCAGTGGTTACCATACAACAAAAGGGGTCAAATTAGCAAATGAGCAAATACAAACACTTGGAAAATACCTCTCATATAACTTTGTGTGGGGATTCTTCCAATGGTTTTTCACTGCCGGTGAAGGTTGTGGATTTGCAAGCTTCCTAACATTTGGAGGTTACCAAGTAAGTCTTCTATAGACGGCTCTAATTTATTTTATTTTAAAATAGTAGGCATATATAATTATTGAAATTTAAAGTGAAAATCAATTTTATATTATCAATCCATTAAACTCTTGCGGATTATAATATAATGTGGATTTGCGGTCTTCAAAGAATGATAGTTGAAATAAATAGGAGTACATGCTATTATATACAATGTGGATTTGTGGTCTTTGAATTTTTGCTCTGGCTTTAGAATTTTTCTGGCTCCGCCACTGGTTAGTTCCCAATCATAGAAGAGTAGAAAAATCAAAATATGACAGGTTGGTGCTGTTATTTTCTTACATTGTGATCTTTTTGGTATAGGTGCACCACAAATTGATGTCACCTGATGCTGCATATGAATATGTAAAGTCAATTCGGCCGAGAGTGCTTTTAGCTTCCTCTCAGTGGCAAGTAAGTCTGTAGCTTGTATTTCTTTTATCACTAGTATTATTGAAGTTTTGTAGATTTTGCAGCTCTAATTTACATATCATGGTTTTGGGTGAGTTTATATTATTAATTTTTAATCCATTTTTTATTTCGATAATTTTTTGTGTTGACAAAACAATAAGGAGTTGTGATGGTTAATCTTCATTCATTTAATTTTTGAAACTTTAGGCTGTCCAGGACTACTATCGCCACCTTATGGTGAGAAGGGTTGTTAGATTTTTGTCTGCAACTGATCTATTAGTAAAGGCTTCCGAGGTCGCAACAACTTTACAAGATCTTGTAAAATTTGATGACAATTCTGTATTCATTTTTGGCACAATGATACTTATTTTATAAGATTATGATTTGATATGTTTTCGGATTTCTGTATTACATGACATGATTATGGAACTTTCATTTTACATGATTATGAAACTCACGTTTTTTTTAATATTATAATGTTTATTTAATATTAAGTTTTGGAATTAATTTTACTACGCTAAAAAGCAATAGAAAAAAATTAAAAAAAACTATAAATAAAAATATTATTGTATAAATAATTTAAAGAAAAAATAATATAACTATTTTAGTAGATAATAATTTAAATAAAAGAATATATTATAAAACAATATAATACAATATATAAAAATTAATAATGAACCGTCAAGATATCACATTCACGACAGTTTTAAACCGTCACAATCAACAATGGTAACAAAAATCAAAAGGATATTCACGACAGTATTTAACTGTTGTCATTTCCAATTTATGTCAGTTCCAACCGGTCGTGAAATAGAGTTCACGACAGTTTTAAACCGTTACAATCAACAATGAAAATAAAAATCAAAAGGCTAGTAACGACGGTCTTTAACCGTCGCTATCTCCAGTTTAGGCCAGTTCAAACCCGTCGTGAAATATAACGACGGTTGTGTGTGACGGTTTTTTCAACCGTCGCTAAACAGCCTGGGGACACACGTTTCTGCGACGGTACTACAACCGTCGTAGAATGTAATTGGTGGTGGTTTTAACCGTTGTAACCTGCCAAAGTAACCGTCGCAATCCATCGTTTTTCTTGTAGTGAATATTAATAGTGGCTATGAAAATTACCATCAACAGGGTGCACGAGGATGCCATTTGCTTTGTCGTCCCGAGAGAACCTTCGCTCAACTTGGAGTACAGATATACATAACAGAGCCCCCCTAGTTCCCCTCGTGAATGGCTGACAAGTCAATGAAATACTTAAGGTATACCACATCAATACCACTCTGGAACAAATGATCCTTAGACTGATAAAGCTTCATAATCTTTTTGTTATGCTTAACAGACTTCAAACAATCGCGCTCTTGTTAAAAAAAACAAAATATTAGTCGCAGGGTAAATGTTTAAAACATATAAATAATAATCATTACAAAAAATACCTCTCCAGCCCAGACATGCCCAACAACATGATCTCTGTAGTATATCAGTAAGGAGGTGTCAGAGGGTCCTCTTAGAAAAGAGTCTACAAGTGGAGGAACATCATCATGTGCATCAACAAGAGCTTCCTCCCGGTCTACGTGATCAGGAGAGATGTTTGAGATGAGGACCCCTGTAATTGGTGGCTCTTAGCAAATGTTTCCCCTCACGTGGTTTAGAGACAGTTCCTCAACTCATTCTGAAGTCTGACCCTCTCACGTCGAACAGACACATGTTGGGTTTCAAGGTCGAGTCTCAGTCTGTCGTTGTTGTATGCAGCCATTTTTTTTGAAACAATACGAGAAAAAATATCAATTTGCATCAAGGACAATTTCAGATTTACATCTTCAAAAACCAGTAAACCACAAATTCAGAGATGCATCTCCAAAAAAAACTTGTGTTTGCATCAATGACAAAAACTGATACCAGTCTTACCCCTAATAACCCAAAATGCAATCAAATCATATTGCATATCTCTAACAGCTATCTATTACGAATTTGACTACTACTTAATGCATTTATAACAAGCTAATTTACCTAATACACTAATAAAAAATTAAAATAAGTTAAATGAAAAACTTAAGGTGTTACAGATGAATAAGTGGAGTTAGTTGGAATTTAAATGCTTAAAGTAGAGATATTGCTTATCCTTGAAAAAACTTCAAAAATTATGTTGCTACGAGCTACAATGTTGTTTGAAGTTAAGGATGAAAAAAATACAGAAAATGAAGAGGGAGAAGACGAGAGTTTGACGCGATATATATACTAAACACATTTGAAGATGCGTTTTCAAATATTCTCTTGGATTTGAAACTACTGATTATTTCAAAAATATATGTGAACAAACTCTAAATCAAATACAAAAATGTATCTCCGAATTAAATTTAAAAAAAAAAACGATGCGTTCAAAAATATATTTTTAAAAATTATAAATATTTTTTATTTTTCGTCAAGAGTTTAAAAGAAAGTATAATGATAGAAAGAAATTGCACTTTTAAATTACAAATATGATCCAATCTTAACCCATTAACCCGGACCAACCGAACCGGTTTCTCAAAACCCCCTCGGATCTGACGGTTGCATTTTACCCAAGTGGCTTTCTCTTCGTAAATTCAACCCCAAGTGATCTGTTATTTCCAGCTCCACTATCATTCGATTATTCTGTCGGTTAACATATTGTCCCACCCATTCATTCATTCATCAATTTCACAGTCACAGTCACAGTTAAATTGACAACACACCAAAAAATACACCGATAGAAGAAAGTCAAGGGTAGGGTCATAAAATTCCAAGCACTGCCACGTCACCACATTTTCATTATCCATATCCCAAAACCAAAAACACACTACCGCGCCACCGCATCCATTAGTCGGAGCGTGTAACTCTATCTAACGGCCACGCTTCATCCCAACAACAATTCAACCACCATTTTATGATTTCCCACGTTTCTACGCTATTCTTCGATACCGCACCATAAAATAAAATAACACCAAAACTTTTAAAAAAAGAAAAACCGACAAAAGAAGAAGAAAAATTAGCGGTTCCGTTCGGTTAAGAACACAAAACTGCAAATAACCTTCTTAAGCGTATTCCATACACTAATAATTTCATTTCGATTTAAATTTAAATCTTAATTTCGAAGATTCCAGAAAATGATTAAGGCGTTTCTGGATCGGGATTAGGACTTTAGGGTTTTTGCTGATTCAGATTCCGATCGGAAATGTCCGAAACCAATTCGCCGCCTCGAACCTCCGGTTATCTCGATGCTCTCTCTCAAGCGATCCACAAGAAGCTTCAGAGGGTGAGTTTTCTTCTTAATTGTTATCTTTTCTCTGTTTTGAAATTCGTTACCGAGAAGAATGCATTTGTTTTTACTTGATTAATTTTTTTTTTGTCTTTGATGCTACAGGCGCTGGCTAGTTCATCGCAGAGGCGTAATTTGTTGCAGGAGCTTTTTGCTGATATAGCTTTAGAGGTTGATGATCGAGCCAAAGGTAACTTTAGCTTTCGAATTTGATTGTTGTTCTTATATCTATTAATTCAATAGTACAAATATTTAGATTGCAACTTGTGCTTCAAGCATGGTATTGGAGTCATTTTGCGTGGTTTATCTTGTTTGCATGCTTATGGTTTTTAGTTCGTTTTTTTGGAAGATGATGATTGTTTTGCTTAATGATATTTTTCATGTAAGGATGATTAATTAGTTGTAATTAGAGGCACAGAGAAAGTTAGCCGCAGATTATCGACACAACCAATAGAGACCCTATTAAACCACAATATAAGAATGAAAATATTTTTTGAGCCCCTATTTAGCTACAGTAGCTACAGTTTAACGGTAAAAATGTTTAGGCTCACAGATGTTTGTATATGATAATATCAACTTAATTGTTCTATGTCACTTGATTTTACTTAGAAATGTCATGTTTTTATGGTAATGTATCTTATGTTTCATGTTTCATAATAAGATTCAATTGACGAATCAGAAAATAGTTCTTTTGATTTAGGATTTGAATCTCAATTTGATAATCATGCAAACAATTGAATGGAATACAAAACAATGGGATTCACAACTAATTAATGTGTATTTAAATCTAAAAAAGGGGTCATAACCTTTTTTTCTTCTTAGGTGGGATGGGGAATACGTGTCTTTTCTCCTTTTTATTTGCAAAACAAATTACCAAATGTGGATTTTCTTTATTCACAATGGCAGATGTAATTTTCAACAAGGAAGAAGATGTCATTTCTCCTGCAAATGATGTCATTGATGGTCCGCTATGTTTCTATGATGTGCTTGCTGATTACTTTGTACAAGTGCCTGAAAGTGGAAAGCCCGTCCTTGACTTGATTGTCCAACTTTGGAGCCAGTCATTTGCTTCACATATTTTTAGCCTCTTGTTTCACAAATGGGTATGTAAGCTTTTCTCTGCCATATTGTCTTTTGCTCTCTTGAGGGAAGTTTTACTTAGCTTGATAGTATTAGTATGGTCATTCATTACTGGTTTTGAATTTGAATATTTACTATCAAAAAACTCTTAATGGCATGGTTACATTCTGACAAATATGAACATCCTCAAATTGACTAATGATATTCTGAGGCATTCACAATGTCTCTGAACCTGGTTATGGCTATATACGGAGTAGCTCTCAACTCCCTTTTTCTCTTAGCTCGTTATAGAGTGGGTGGCAATTCCCCAATTTCACTTGACTCACAATATGTATAACCTTTTGACTCACTTGATATACATTTAATGTTCTGCCATTTCTTCTTTGTATATTCAAATTTTGAAATGCTTATAAGTATTTAGAATCTTAATCAATGGCAGTGTATACTATTGTATATATGTAATATGTAAGATAAGTGACATATAGTATAATTATTTCATTTTTATAATTGGAGTGACATATATAATGTGTATGTATGTATAAATGAGATGAGTGCTGAGATTTATATATTATAGTTAATCATGAACTAATGCATATTACATATTACTAAATTTTGGGTTAAACATGATTTAAAATTAGTTATGAGATTTGTGTTTTTTACTTTTTACATAGTACTGGTTTGAGATGGATTGTTTTTTACTTTTTACATAGTACTGGTTTGAGATGGATTGTTTTTTACTTTTTACATAGTACTGGTTTGAGATGGATTGTTTTTTTGCCTCCTGGGTATATTTTATTTCTGTTATTTCCCTTCTGTTTTTGAGGGGTTACAGAAGCTTTCCTCTGTTGTAAGGAGTCAATCTCCATTTTTCCTAAAGAAATCCTAGTTCCTATTTTCTAATTGACATTCAAAAATCACTTTGATAGCTCTTTTATTTAGTCCTAATTGGGGTATATCGTAAAACATATTTCCAGTAGCTTCCTGTTTTGTTGTAAATAACTTTTTAATACCTTAATGCAGATGTTTGAAGTTCATCTTGATAATCCAGAAGTGCTCCTTCGGTATTCATCTGCCCTGGTTCAAGGTGCCACAAATGTTTTCTGGTATGAATACAAGCTGTTATAAATTAAAATGTTACTTAGTTGGATTTAACTTACTAAAAGACTGGGTGGATTTGGATTGGCTGGCATTTATAAGTTAAAATTATATTCACTTTCAAAAACCATGCTTTGAAAAAATATGAACTTCATTTCATGCTTCACTCCACTCCTAAATGGGGAGAAGAAGAATATGTGGTGTGGACTCTCTTTAGCATCTTTCTTTGAAAAACATATTTGTTTGCTTACATGATTTTATCGATAGTCTTTCTATGCCAAATCAATAGCAATCCATTTGACCTTATCCTATCCATTAAAAACAAAACAGAAAGTAATTGCAAACTTGGAAAATGTTAGTAGCAATGTCTTCATGGGCTAAAACCTCTACTATGATAAAGTAGATATTGTACGATATTTGGAAAATCAATCCGAGAATTGCAATAATCATTTTTGGAGCCATGTACAGGATTGACATTCAGACAAATACAAAGCGTTTCCAGTCTATATTCCGTGTAAGGGTTCTAATTGGATCCTATATTTATTTTAACTAATATGTATCATCTGAATAATATTATAATCATTGCTTCTTTTCCCAATTCTTTTGTATATTCCTTGTGTTTCCCTCAAATTCAGTACCTCTTGGATGACGTTGCATTACACCACAGTAGATTGAATAAAATTCCTCTCCAGGTATACCCTATCAGTTTTAGTTTTTAGCATTTTATAAATGCTGCCTACAATTTTTTATAGGACCTTTAGCTAGTCTACTTTTGTTGCTGGCAATGGCATTCTGAAATTTTATACTTTTCATTGAACTTTCAGGCACAGCGAGATATGTATCTTTTGCTCTCAAGGTTCATTCTATTTTACAATTCAGGTAGTCATTTAGAGAAGTTATTAGCCTATAAATAATGATGCAATAGTCTCTATAAATCTAATATTACCTTCTTTGCAGCTGGCAAAATCGATAGCTTCTTGAAACAATGCCCTGTTTTTCAAACTGCCTTCTTAGTTGGCAGTCCTGCAGATATATTTGTGAATGAACTCACGGATCAGGTACATCTGAAACACCTTTTTCCACAATTGAAAGCCACATCCTCTCTTTCATATAAAGAAATTATGTTACCTATCCTCAATTGTTGTTGATTTTTTTTAACAGCTACAAAAGCTTAAGGTGGAACCTGTACTGCTGCATTATCTTTCAGAAATCAAGGTCCTTCAGGGTACTAGACCAACCATTCAGGTGCAATAGTTGAACATGGAATATTTTTCTCTCAACCTGACTCAGCTAAGTCATTCTTTTGTTTTATGTTAATGGCACAGGTATGGAATTGAGAATGACTACAAGTACGAGATTGAAAACTTGTTTGTATAGTTTTACTTCTCCTGGTGGTCCAATGTACCCGACCAGAGCTGTTCGTCATGCTGCGTGGGAAGCACTAGATTTTCTTTTTCCGGTTAGTATTATTATTCCTCAATAAGTAGTATTCAAACCAAATTATAAAAAATTGCAAGAGCTTCGTCCTCTACAGCCCTAAATAACATTTTTTTTCACATTAAATATTTCTAGGTCCCTTCATTGTTAAATACTTGACTTCTATTAAAAGCTTTTTAAGTTTTTATAGGTGGGATTATATGACTATTAAATTTTTAAAATTTCCAATAGATTGGTTTTGTAAATGACTTCTAGAATCTGCACACAGATGACTTATTTCTGAAAGGATGGATTGTTAATGTATATGCCATACAGTTCATGTTAAGATCGCAACATAAAACATGAGCTCATGTATGCACCAAGTACTTGTCCGATAAATAAATGTTAATGTTGTTTTGTTGCTATGATGCAGGTTGGGCAATACCCTCGGCATCTCATAAGTCTGTTCTTCAGGTTGCTCTATCCATGGTATTGGCCATCCTCTTGTTGGAACTTTGTGGTTTCGTGCATTCGGGCTATCTTTTATTCCTTACTGAGGCTGATATTTTCTGCGTGGGAAAAAATTGCCAAACCAAAAAGTCAATAAATGTCCATGTGTCCTGAGGATATTGGAGTACATGCATAGAACCCGGGTCATGTCTTGCCAACCAGCACGAATGCCTTGCTTCATGAAGCTCTGATATTTCTTTTTTCTACTCAATGTGATGTGTATAAAGCAAGCTTGTTAGTGCAATGTATATTTTGTTGAGTTTGTTCACTATGTCTTAGAATAGGTTTACAAGTCCAAGTAATATATAACGCGAAAAGATCGCCGAAAATAACTAAACAAGGAACTGCGATTCATACACATTATTCTACAATGTTTTATGAGAATAAGATTGTGTATGATTTTATGAAATGTACTTGCCATAGCTACTGTCTGATTTTAGTCTAAACAGTTATGAATGACTTTAATCTTACTGTTTTATGAGAGTAAGATTGTGTATGATTTTATGAAATGTACCTGCCATAGCTACTGTCTGATTTTGGTCTAAACAGTTATGAATGACTTTAATCTTCTGACTTTTTTCTTATTACTGTTGATTTTTTCCCCCGCTTTTCTTCTACCTAGAACGCAATTCCTGTCTACAATTTATATTATAAATTTGTTTAATTTAAAATGGGCTACTTAATCATCTATATGAAAGTGTATAAAGTTGATCAATTAAAGTAGCCTTTTCATTTGGACTTTGATTTATGTGACCTTGATTAGTTTGTATTACAATGTAGTTCATCTCAAGTTCATGATTAGATCCTCTACGTCATTTACAATCCGGCATTTCAGTTCGTTCCGAAGAGAATCAGCATTGAGAAGTGTGTGAATCCCCTCTGCTACGCGTTTAAGTCAACTATACTGTCTCTTCAATTGAGTTGCAAAGAGGCTAAATAGGATATGTTAAAAGACAGTTTTTCAATTCACTTTTTTATTTGCATAATAAACCCAGTAAAAAATATTTTCAGTAGTGTATTTTTTGTCAAAATACAGAAATTTTCTATGTTAAATTAGATAGAACATCTTTAAAGTTTTGTAAGAGTGACTATTCTCTGATTTGGAATCATGCTTTCACAAGAGAGACAATAATAAACTTAAATGGCCACAGAAACAACAGACAGAAATCCAAATAGAGCTATATGATTAGTAACGGAGATTTGTCTAATTCAAACCATTCACACATAGTATTAAAAAAAAAAAAAAGTAAACTTGCATCTGTTGGCAAAAAAAAGAAAAAGAAAGAAAACAAAATCAGAGTTTCAAATCGGAGTTTGAATTTGTTGTAGTTCTGGGAGTGTTGTGAATTGTTTGATAAACTTGGTAGTTACCCTTTGTGCGCATAACCCACTCGAATGCGTCTGCCATCCACTATCTGGGAAATTAATTATCAAAACAGAACAAGATTCATAACATATGACAGCATGAAAATAAAAACGAAAGCAAAATCTGTAGCAAAAGTAACCTTTCCGTGCAATTCTTTGCGAGCTGTGGCAGCTGCAGTTTCAGAATTAAACCTAACAAATCCATACTCTTTTGATTCCCCAGTCTTGTGATCACATATAACTTTAACTAAACCAGAAACATTAATTAGTTGCAACATAACAAATTTAGGGATCTAAAACATTTGAAAAATTACGTTAGTTTTACCTTCAATGATTTCCCCATGTCGTTGAAATGTGTCTCTTAGGACCGTTTCATTCGTGTTATAAGAAAGCCCTTTGTTCCAAACAAAACCAAAAATTAAATTTGAAAAGGTAAAATCAACTTCGAAGATAAATTTTATATTTAAAAAAAAAAAGAAAAAACCTGCGACGAACAATTTGGTAGATGAATGATGGCGCACGAGTAGAAACAATTGAGGTAAGGGTAAAGCTGAACATCGGAGAAGAAGAGGCATAACTACTTGATAATGAAAATACTGCATAGAATCTTACCGACAACACTTCGATAAAAGTATAGTTCATCCGTATTTAAATAATTTATATATTTTTTATTTCAATGCTAAAAAAAAAAATACTAGTAGATCACGTGAAGTGAGTGTAAATTTATTTTGAAATCATTGGGATAAAATTAATTTAAATTGTTATGATATTGTATCTTAAATAAAATATGTTTCATTGTTCTATAAAATTTAATTTGTTCATAGATAGATAGACATGCTCCAATATAGAGAATAGCATGCTCCAATTGAGAGAATGGCTAAGCACTTATGTGATATCTGGTGCAAATTGTGGAAAGTAGTTTGATTTTAATTAGAGAATATGTGATATATGGGATGTTTTTGAAGGATTAAGTGATTAATTTGATTGAATTATTTTATTTATGGTTGTTAAAATCACAATTTAAAACTTAAATTTTATACATTTCACGTTTTTAATTCAGTGTTTCGTGTTAAGTCATAAATAAAAACGTTTTTATGTAAAATTATATTTTTTTTATGATTTAAATCGTTTTGAAATCATTTAAAATCGTGGAGTACTTTTTGACTTAATTTTTTTCCCCACAAAATCCACAATGAATGTCTCCCTCAATATTGATGACATATTGGTGCGTTGATTATCTTGGTTTAAAAAATTGTGCTACATTAGAGGAGAATTAGGTGATTAATTAGTACAACGTGCACTCTTTTTAATCGGGTGTGATGACTTCAATTGTGAAATGTGTATATAGATGAAAATTACGGGTGATAATGAAATCTATTAAACAATCTATCCACTAAATTATTAATCCAATCTATTTACTATAAAAATTATTAATCAACTGATTGAATCCAATACATCTATTTAATGTTATGGATGGATACAATTCATCTGACCAATTTAAAAAATTCCTTAGATTGTTTAATTATTTCTATAAACTATAATGGATAATTTTAAAATCAAATAAACATGAAAAGTTAATTATTTTTTAAAATTTTCTCACGTTCTATTAAAAATAATATTAAAGATTAGACTAAACCTGACTTTTCAATAGTACATATCAATTTGCGACGTACGTCTCTGACCAGCCTCTCCAATACAAGATTCATACATGAAAAATTACAATATTACATCAAGGTTAAAACGAATTGTTTAAGAGAACAATCGAAATAATAACAATGATGCATCAATCGAAGTAATAACAATGGTGCATACCAGTCTGCGACGTAGGTCCCTAGCAAGCCTCTCCAATACAAGATCTATATATGAAAAATTACAAGATTACATAAAATTTAAAACAAATTATTTAAGTGAACAATCGAAGTAATAACAGTGGTTCATCAATCGAAGTAAAAACAATGGTGCACACCAGTCTGCAACGGAGGTCCCTTGCAAGCCTCTCCAACACAAGATCCATATATGAAAAATTACAAAGATACATAAAAGTTAAAACGAACTATTTAAGAGAACAATAGAAATAAAATTGGTGCATAATAGTCTGCGACGTAGGTCCCTTGCAAGCCTCTCCAATAAAGGTCGAGGTGAATTTTAGGCAACAAGAGTTTTACAATTGGCATATTAGAATAGTATATAATTTTTTAATTAACTACTCGTTAAAAAAATAGTATAAATTTTCTTCTGGATTAACAACAACAACAACAAGCAACAACAAACTACAAGCACAAAAACAAACAACAACAAGCACAACAACAACAAACAAAACAACAATAACATCAACCACAAGCACAACAACCAATAACAACAACCACAAGCAAAACAACAACAACAATAAAATGCAACAATAACAAGCACAACAACAACAAAAACAACAAATAAATAAGATTTGTCTATTAAAAATGATATTAAAGATTAGACAAAGCCTGACCTTTTCAATAGTGCATACCAGTTTGACATGTAGGTCTCTGACAAGTCTCTCCAATGCAAGATCCATACATAAAAAATTACAATATTACATCAAGGTTAAAACGAATTATTTAAGAGAACAATCGAAATAATAACAATGGTGCATCAATCGAAGTATTAACAATGGTGCATACCAGTCTGCGACGTAGGTCCCTAGCAAGCCTCTCCAATACAAGATCCATATATGAAAAATTACAAGGTTACATAAAAGTTAAAACGAATTATTTAAGTGAATAATCGAAGTAATAACAATGGTTCATCAATTGAAGCAAAAACAATGGTGCATACTAGTCTGCGACGGAGGTCCCTTGCAAGCCTCTCCAACACAAGATCCATATATGAAAAATTACAAAGATACATAAAAGTTAAAACGAATTATTTAAGAGAACAATAGAAGAAATAAAATCGGTGCATAATAGTCTGCGACGTAGGTCCCTTGTAAGCCTCTTCAATAAAGGTCGAGGTGAAATGAATGAAAAGAGAAAGAGTGAAATGAATGGACTTAATCAAAAGATGCACAAACATTTCATTAATCTTGCCAATTCAAAATGAACAACAACTTACAAGCAATTCAAATGCAAAGAAAACACAACAAAATGCTGAAACAGTCTACAGCTGCCAGTCTTAGGGAATTAAAATTGTTAACGACCGAATCAAAGGAGACCAATAACTATTGGATTTTCAAAGGGTTTGGTGACAACCACATCGAAGTTACGATAACAATCGGGCTTAGATAAACCGGTGACAACCAAGTTAAAGATATACCTGTTAGAACACAGATTGGTTCTTAATAATATCTCTATGTTTTGATGATAACTATTATGAAATTTTGTAATTAAGAATTATATACTCTAAAATTTGCTTGAGAGTTTTTACTGCAGATAGTAAAGGAATTAACACTCCAGAAGCAAATCAGAATTGAACACAAGAAATTAGCTAGACTCTGAAGCGCCAGATGCATCCATTAAAAGATTCTGATTGCTGCCAACAGAAGATCCTGAGCGTAGCCTCCAGAAGATTCTGAAGCAGAAGCTCTAGAAGGATCTGAAGCAGAAGCTCCAGAAGGATCTGAAGCAGAAGCTCCAGAAGAATCTGAAGCAAGTCAGAAGCATCTGAACCAAAGAAAAATTTTGTATGAAGAGTTTTTCAAAGCATAGTTTCTACAGAAGATTCTGAAAGTACTAAAGCTGCCAGTACTGAAGATCTGTCTCAAATATGCTCTGATCTTAAACACGCTAAAAGCACACCTGCTGCAGAAGACTCTGATTCAGCAAAACTCTGATCATCAGCAAAAGACTCTGATTCAGCAAAACTCTGATCATCATCAGAAGACTCTGACCCATTTAGACTTTGATGCATTTGCTGAAAACTGAAGAAGAAATTATTCAAAGTTTATATCCGTTGGAGTGAACCAAAAGTCTCTTTCCTTATTTATGCTAGACACAAGAACACAGACAAAAAGGATTTTTCTGTGCTTTCTTCTTCTAGGAAAGGTCACTTGATGTGAAGACAAAAAGGCTCAGACCTTTTGGACACTCTTCTCAACGTGAAGCTCACCTTGGATCAGCTGCCTATAAAAGCAAGACTACACCAAATTCTTCAGTTGACGTTTTTATTGAAAAGAAATCAACATTCAAGCTCTCATACTTTTATATTCATTCTAAGAATTTATTTCTTTGTTCTAAATAGTTAAGTGAAAAATCACAGTTGTGATAAAGCTTTATAGAAGCAATCTTAAACACTTGTATTGATTTTACATTTGATTGTAATCCTTAAGAAGATCCAGTTAGGATCAGTAGTTCTTGAGAAGACTTTGAACAGTTGTTCTAAGTGCTTACTATTGTAATCAGTTGATTAAATAGTGGATTAAGTCCTTGATCGAGAAAGGCAAATCACTCTAGGAAGGATGGACTGGAGTAGTTGAGTTCAACGAACCAGGATAAAAATACTTGAGTTTTTATTTCTAAGTTTTAATCTTCATACTTATTCAACCCCCTTCTAAGTATTATCTCACCTTCAGTTGGCATCAGAGCTCCGGTTCTGTGTGTGCTACCACTTAACAGTGACAGTAAAGATTCAGAGAGAAATACTTTGATATATATATTTGGTTGTTACTATGGTTGATAATACAATGTCTAACATTAACAACAAATATGAAGAAAGGGACAGAATCAGCACCAAACCCCCTATGTTTGATGGGGAGAAATTTGATTATTGGAAAGACAGAATTGAAAGTTTTTTCCTTGGATATGATGCTGATTTATGGGATCTGGTCATAGATGGATATGTTCATCCCACAGATGAGAATGGCAAGAAAATAGACAGAAAATCTATGACAGATGCTCAGAAGAAAGAATTTAGAAATCACCACAAGGCCAGAACAATATTGTTGAATGCAATATCTCACACAGAGTATGAAAAAATTACAAACAGGGAAACTGCATTTGACATGTTTGAATCCTTAAAAATGACTCATGAGGGAAACTCTCAAGTCAAGGAAACAAAGGCTCTGGCTCTGATCCAGAAGTATGAAGCCTTCAAGATTGAAGACTCTGAATCTGTGGAAGCTATGTTCTCCAGATTTCAAATACTTACAGCTGGACTCAAGGTTCTGGATAAAGGATACTCTACTGCTGATCATGTGAAAAAGATCATCAGAAGCTTACCCACCAGATGGAGACCTATGGCGCTGAAGATGGCTAAAGATCTGAACAAGATCTCCTTGGAGGAATTGATCAGTTCACTAAGAAGTCATGAAATAGAACTTGAGGAAGATGAACCTCAAAAGAAAGGTAAATCTGTAGCTTTAAAATCTAATAAATCTGCTAAAGAATTGCAGGTAATAGAGGAAAGCTCTGAAGAATCCTCATCTGAAGATGAAGATGAACTGTCCATGCTGTCCAGAAGAGTAAACAAACTCTGGAAGCATAAAGGAAAGAAGTTCAGAAACTTCAGAAAGCCTGACCAAAGAAAAGAATCTTCTGGACACAGAAGATCTGGCAAAAAGGAGGTAGTCTGTTATGAATGTAAAGAACCTGGACATTACAAAAATGAATGTCCAAAGGTGCTGAAAGAAAAGCCT